AAGGTTGGAATATGCCTGTGCACAGATGAGGGGAGGAGGCAATGAGACCAACGCTTCTATGATTTGTCTTCCTCAGGTCACTCAGCAGTTTTAAATGGGGTTTAACTGGTCAGTGCCCCCTCCAGTACTCCTTTGGAGCACTGCCCAAGGCTCCTGTGGGCTCAGGCCACCCACCTTCCCAGATCCACATTCTCTGCATGGTTGGATCTGCTGCTCATCCTCCTGGCTTCTCCCAGAGCCCAGAAGTGCTGGCAGGAGGAGGAGAGCACTACCATCTCATTTACGATTTCCCAGCATCGTTCAAGCTCCTTCCCCGCCATTCCCCAGGCAGAGGCCAAGAGCAGAGCCACTCCCAAAGCCGCAGGGTCGGGAGCAGGTGGCAGTGGCCCATGCATGGCCTGTGGGTTTGGCTCCCTCTGCTCTGGAGGGGCATCATCTGGCAGGAAACTGCCAGTAAAGCTGTCCTTGAGCAGCAGAGCAAGTTAATAGGAAAAAACTGTTGAGACTAACATCATCATCTTTAAGTCAGAAAAAACTGCTGTAACATTTTCCTTAGTTTTCCTATCCATTATAGTTCTCAATTTAAAAGAAAAAAGGAAAGTTAAATGCACATGCTTTAAAACACAGCAAAAGTTGAACAAGCCTTTGTATAATTAAGGTGGTGAATGGAGGGAAGCAGCAGTATCAGAGACATTTCCCTGGCCTGAGAACAGCTCAAAAAAAGTCAGAGTGAAGGAATCCAGAATCTGATCAATGCTAACACTGATCTCTACTGACAGATCTGCAACGATACATTGTGGGCACTCCAGCACTACGTATGAAGTAGGACTACAAACACCAATATCCCTAACTTGGTGTTCAAAGCATCATAGCACTGAAAGTGAAGGTCATGGTGGGGATTGAACTGGTCATTGTTACACCTTTGAGTATTTGTGCTCCTTTAAGTTTAACTCTGGTCAACCATCCCCCTTTCTATTACATCTGCAGGAGTACGTATTGCTGACAAAAACTTGAAATTCTGTGTCTAAACAGCTTTTTCTCTGGGTACTCCAATATATTTTATGGCAAATTTTAATTACTGAACTCTAATAGATAACCCACATTATCTTAATTGAAAGAGCAAACATTAATCAAATTTCACATATGGAATGATGCTTCCTTATATGTAGAAATTAATGGATGAAACATTAGTAAAGAAAATATACTCTGCTTTTGAAAACAGAGAAATCTGAATGGACAGCAACCAAAAAGCCTCTTAAAAACAAAACGCTACCAGCTTCATCCAGTATTCTTGTTTAAGAAGCAAAGTGATGAAGGGGAGAGAAATGCTGCGAATCACCGACACAGAGAGGCTGGAGTGGGAGGTCTCTCAGGCCCAAGAATATTTCTGGTTGTCAGAGGCTAAAAAGATTATTTATTGTTTCCTTCCTAAACCCAGCTCCACTGCCACCTGTTCAGAATTTACTATAAAGCTGTTAAACAAGACGAGAACTTTGATGCTGACTGTGAAAACAAGTTTCACTGTATCTGACCCGAGCAGCACTCACTGCTGATCCAGAAGCAAAGGAATTTGATTTTTTTCTTTAAGCACAGCTATCTTTTTACCTTTATAAGCTGTTTAAAAAATGTAAATAAAATAACTCAGTGGACAATAGAGGGCATTCATCCCCCAGAAAGACAGCCGCCACCCTTAGACATGAAATATCGCAGCACATTAAGTCATGAGACCCCGCTAATCAAAGCTGACAGGGCCCTGAATGTGATTTCTGCTGAGACTTAGCGATATCATGGGGCACTGAAGCATGCACAGCCTGCCAGACTGCCCCTGTTCATGTGACAATGGCTTTTATTCCCCAAAGGGGCCTGCGAGTGACAAGAGTCCCCTTTGTCTCTGGGCTCCCGCATTCGCAGTGCAAGAGAGGTTCATTCAACCAGCCCCAGACACTCTTTGAAAGGCTGAAGTGTAACATAAGATGACCATGAAACACTAGCTTGCCTTCTGCCTACCCCTCATTCTTCTCCAGCACAGCCTGGCCTATTCAGGGCCTCTCGCAGCCCCGCTCGCGCTGCATTACCCCCGGTCTGCTGAATCCCCGCATTGTCCCGGCCCCGCACCCAGAGCCCTTCCCACACCACAGCCCCCAGCACCCAGAGCCCTTCCCACACCACATCTCCCAGCACCCATCACTCTTCCCACACCATGTTCCCCCAAAGCCCTCCCACACCATATCCTCCTGGCAGCACGGCTGGGCTCTGGCACCACTGGCACAACCCAGGCTGAGGGCAGCACGGAGCCACGGCTGGCTTTGGAGGGATTCTAGGAAGGGGACAAACCTGCTACACTTCACCTGGAACTCCCTGAGTGGGAATGCTAAACCCTCCCATCTCCCCACACTGTGGGGGCCATGATGGGCAGAGCTGGGAGCCCCTCACTCTGCTCCCAGTGCCTGGCGCTCCTCCAGCAGCTGCTCACTCCACTCACAACAGGATGGATAAACCCCCAAAACAGCCCAGACACCTCAAACCTCCACTTACACGTCCCTGCTTTTTCCCAAGCCGTCGTACCCGCTGTTTTCCTGCATCCCGGGAGCACTAGTGCCATCCACTGGCCCAGCAGGTGCCTCCTCACCACAGCCGGAGCTGCCAAACCAGCACCGAGTCACTCCACCCGCGCCATCGTCCTGGGCCTGGCACCGCCTGGGCACGGCTGGGCACCCCCCTGGCCCCTGTCCCACCACTGCCCTCCCACAGTGCCCTGACCCTGCTCAGCCTCCCGCCAGCTCCACTAAAACCAGGCGCAAGGGAGGGCTGGATTCACTTCAGAAACAAATAACTGCCACGGCCATGCCCAGGGAGCTCTGGGATCTCATTTGCCAAAGGAAACTTTCTCCAAAACCTCCATGAGGGAAGGGAGCCTTAACACTCTGGGCAGAGATCCATGGTTGGCAAACCACAGACAAAGGGAATAATCTTCCCTAAAATATGTCCTGGAATCACAGACTGGTTTGGGTTGGAAGCACATCTCATCCCACCCCCTGCCATGGGCAGGGACACCTTCCACTAGCCCAGGTTGCTCCAAGCCCCGTCCAACCTGGCCTTGGACACTTCCAGGGATGGGGCAGCCACAGCTTCTCTGGGCAACCTGTGCCAGGGCCTCCCCATCCTCACAGGGAGGAATTTCCTCCCAACAACTCATTTACATTTCTCCTCTTTTAGTTTAAAACATTGCCCCTTGTCCTATCACTTTCTGCCCGTGCAAAGGTCTCCCTTACTCTTTTTTATAAGCCCCTTTAAGTACTGAACTGTGAAACACCCAGTGTCTTATTGCAAACACAGCATGAAAACAAATAATGGCAGTCAGGATTTGCATAGGTTTCTGTCCTTTCAGGTGAGAGACTGAAGAGCCAAAAATCCTACATGTGAATCTGCTTCACTGCTCCAGCTGAGAGATGAGGAATAGCAGGATGGACAGACACCCTCAGCCCACTGCAGTGCTCAGAGCCTGAGCTCCAGGTTGTTTGGGGTTATTTGTTGTGAACTGAGGTATGTTCAGTCCCCAAGGGCAGTAAAAGATTTCCTGTTATTTTTGAAGATATTTCTATTCATCCGTCTGGTAACAAAACAAAACTAGAAGAAAGTTATGGCTGAGAGCGAGAAGCTGTTGAGGTTTCCTGTTCTTCACACTGGGAATGAGCAGCAAATGAGCTCTGCTGAGGAAGAAAGAACAGAAAAACAATTCCACAAAAAAAATTTACAGCTTTCCAAAACCAGATCTAGAAAGAACTGTGTTTCTCATGAAAACAACAAATATCTTTGGAGTCATGAACTTAAAAATCCCACTTGAATATAGTCAAATAGGACAATATTGTTACAACTGTCAAACACATTCAAAAACTTTTTGAGCAAAAGAGTGAGTCTCCAGCAGCTACCTGGGAATTTTGAACCAAATACAAAATATCTTTGTTTCAGTATTCGAAGAAATCAACATGAATGGAATTCCAGGATCTCACTTGGGAATTCAGCTTTACAGAAGAACAGGATTTTTAATACTGCTACTTGAGATTTTCCTTTTGCTAAACAAGATCAAGCTGTTCTACACTATCCAAGTGAACCACCTTCCTGGGAGAAAAAGAAACCTATAATTTTTGTCTTTAAAACAGAAAGATCATAAAATGGTTGAGAGGGTCCTTCAAGACCACCCAGTTCCACCCCCTGCCATGGGGGGACACCTTCCACTAGCCCAGGTTACTCCAAGCCCCGTCCAACCGGGCCTTGGACACTTCCAGGGATGGGGCAGCCACAGCTTCACTGGGCAGCCTGGGCCAGGGCCTCCCCACCCTCACAGGGGAGAATTCCTCCCTAATATCTCATCTAAAGCACTGGCACTATTGTAGTTTGCTCATGAGAACGTGAGAACTCCCAAGGCCACCAAGGTATATCCGTGATGCCAGAGATGCTGCAGTGCTGTAACCCCAGGGTAGAGCACACAGGCTCCTGGGTGCACTGAACTCCTGCCTGGATCAGTTACACAGTTTGAATATGAGCCTCACTGGTAAAGAGGCTTCAAAACTCCTCCAGCTGAGAATTGAGGTTGGGGCAATCACTGAGTTTTCCAAGCCCTCTGGCTGCAGGCAGGCTGGAGATAGCACAGCAGGTCTATGACTGGCTACCAAAATCCTTTCTTTTCTTGCTGTGGAAAAGGAAAACAAAAAAGAACACAACCATCCCCTTAAATTCTCTAAATTAAACCCTATTAACCTATTACTTTCAAAGGTCAGAGAAGGAGGGGAGGGAGGATTCCCTGGCATTCTGTACTCAGCTAGCAGAAAAGCTGAGGCTGGACATAGCTCCTGTACAGGGGAAGAGCCTGCTAGGCTGCAGCATTCACAGCGTGCAGCTGCTGGGATGAAACGGAATTCACATTGAAATGCATCCAAAAAAAGGACACAGACATTCACAGAGAGTTGGGAAGGTAAATTTATTTGAAAGACATGACCCACCTCTTTGTAATCGCCCTTGAGATAAAGATGACTGACATGTTCAAGCAAATAGTTCCGGTCTGCTGTGTGGAGCTGGTAAATGCTGATCAGGGGGTCAAGCAGATTAGCTGGGCACTGGGAGAGGATTCTGAGCACACGGGCCTGCAGCTTCTTCAGCTGGATGCCAGACTTGAAAAAACCAAAACAAAAATCAAACATGGGTTTAGTAAAGATGGCTGAGATTCAACAGCAGTGGGAAATGCAGCTTGTTTAAACAGAATAAGCCAATTCCTTTGGAAGGGATTCTCCAATTTCCCCACGGAGTCTGCAAGCACAAATCAGAACAATATGATACACGTTATTTTCACAGCATCCAATTCAAAAACATGAAGAGTTTGCGGGATAATTCTGGAGAAGGGATATGGCCTTGTGCAAAAGTAAAATCTGAAACTGGAAAAATGCCCTCTGAACTAGTACAGCTCTTCAGAAATTCTCCTCTCTAGTTCTCAGCAGAAAATCTTTGAATCCAGAGACTCCCCTCCAGGGAGATCTCAGCTGTCAGGCATAAGAATTCCATTTCACTCCCAGGCTTGCTCCTGGGTGCAAGAAGGGCAGGAAAAGCAAAAGCACCATCAAAAGATGCACAGACAAAGGTATTAATCCTTGTGTTTCCCACATGATCATTCATGACACAACAATTTCCCACACTCGTGACTCAGGAATTTCAGTGGCAGTAGCACTTTGCTGCACTTTGCAGATCCTGTAATGGCAGAGCTCAACATCTAACCAGAGCCATTTGGAAAAATGTGAAAGGAAGCAACACAAATATAAAAGTATCCTGCAGTTCAGAGCCAACAGCTTATAGGAAAGAGAAAATCTCTTTTCCATATAGGTCAGAATATATAAAGGCAGAAGGAATGGTAAACATTAGGAAGTATAATCTGATGACCCAACATTACAGAACTAATCATTCGGCTGCTGAAAAGGCAGACTGTTCCCATTTTCTGCATTCCCACCATATGGCAGGAGTTAAGCAATCCTACAGTAACTGGCTTCTATTTGCAGAGCTGGAAGAACACACAGAGCAGATTACTGCAACTGGGTTTATCCTGACAGCAGGGATGTGAGTTCCAGTGGGAGAGCCTCCAGCCTGGAAAGGCTGCAAGATCAACGCTCCATCGAAGTGGTTTGATCTGGAGAGCTGGAAAGCCCAACTTGGGAAGGGAAACAGAGCTCTGGCATCACAGCTTCCAATATGATTTCATTTTCAGACCAGCATGCCACAGACAACAACATCTCAGTAAGAGTTTCACACCTTGTCACACTGTGTATAAGGCTACAGAGAAGATGCTGGACTATGGAATAAAGTGAAAGTGGAGATACTTGAGGCACATTAAAATCAGTCCCTCTCTCCCAACTCTCTTCTAACCTGTGGAACAGCAGGATGCTCTTTTATCCAAAGCTGCAGCTCTGTGGTGATGTAATACCCCAGGGAATGCCCTTTCCCCTTCCAATCACTGCTGTTCTCCAGCATGGCCAGGAGTCCTGCCAAAGGGTCCTCCAGTCCGGCAAAGCCCCGCCTGATTTCTTCCTTGAGCTGCTGAGATACAAAACCACATTGTCACGTACAAAAAGATTAGTGAATCCTCCCTTCCCCCAGTTGAACACAAAGCTTTATTTTTTTAAATTTAATCTATTCAGAGAGGTAACTGTTGCTATTCAGCCACCATCCGCGCCTCCAGTGACTTTTCATGTCATTACAGATTCCTTCATGGCTCACTGCACCTCAAACCCAATGGGAAAAGCAGCAATTGTCCACACTAATTATCCCATAAAGACAGAGAAGTTGTTCTGTGGGGCAGACAAAGGGGCTTGGGATTTGGGGGAGGGGGAGAAAAGAAGAGAGCTGGAGAGAGGGGTGTTATTAGGAAAACGGCAATACCGAAGGTAGAGAATTGGGTTCAAAAACCTGCTCATCTTCTAACAGACTTACACGAGCACAGTGCATGAACCTCCTCATTCCTGCACCACAAACTTGCACATTTGACCTTATCCCCACTTCAGCTACAATGGCTCCTCAGCGTTATTGGAATATTTGGGAATCTCAAAATAGTTTGGATTTTGCACACAGGGTCAAAATGAATGAAATATCTGAGTTCAAACTCTGTCAGACTGCCATTCTCCAAATCTGTGCTCCTGTCCCCAAACCTCCCTGAGCAGGGCATTCTCTGCTCACCACCTACAGCCCCTGCACGTCAGGCATCACACACCTCCGAGAGCCTAAAGGCCCTGCAAAGGGGCTTGGAACATGGGAAAACTCCATGCCATAAATCTTAGGAATCCCAGGGTGATGTGTTTAGAAATGTGAAGGAATTGGACCCTCACTTTGTGAATGTTAATAGGCTACTTACTACCCATCTGGTAGAAGTGATAAATTAGCAGTACTGAGCAATATCTCTATAATGTTTACATTAGAAGTAGTTTCCAAGGAGCTGGGAGGGTTGGCAGGGTGAGGAAGTGGCATCCTCAGTACCCACACAGGACCTCTCACTGCATGGTACATGCACCAGCGTGGAGCAGGGCAAAGGCAGAGACAGAAGACAAGAAATGACTGAGAGCAGCTGCTCTCTTTCTTTTCTGGATAAAAAGCCAAATCCAAAAGATGCTCATTCCTGCTGCAGCCAGCACTTGTAATTTACTGTATATCATGGCCCCAGTCAGAGCTTCCAATGGAAACAACATAAAGTTTGAAGAACGACATGGAAAACAAAAGAAAATCTACAGAAAATCTGCCAATGAATTTGTTCTTTTTTATTCATCGACAATATTTACTGGAAGACAGTAATTTTCCAGAGTGTCTTTCATGTCTGGAAAAACCACAGAACCTATCGTTTACGACAGAAACTGTTTCTTTCTCACTAGACTATCAAAGGCAGCATGAAAAAGCTGATGACTAACAAAGATGTGACTTCAGATAAGAGATTTCTCCCTGCAAGTAATTTTCCCTGTGGCAAGAGTTCGCTTCAACTTCACTGGGAGATGCAGCAGAAGGCAAAGCCGAGCTCTTATCCAACCACAAACATCCAATACAACAGCCAAAGGAAAACAAAGCAACTTGCCAACTCAATTGCACTGCTTAGAAATGGCTTTTTTCCCCCCCAAAGCCCCACTTCAGCACACTCAGAGCTTCCACCACACTGCTCAACTCCTCCTTGGGCTGGAGTCCGAGCCTGGGCTTTGGTGGGCTGGGTTCCAGCAGACACCAGGTCCTGCTGGCACGGGCAGAGCAGCTCCCAGCACTGACCCCGCTGCCAGCAGCATGAACTGTGCTCATCCAGACTGAATCTGGCCTTGGTACCAGCCAGGCCAGGACAAGCTGGGAAAAAGCCTCCCTGCAGCCCTCGGAGCAAGCTGAAGCCTTCAACCATGAGGTGTGTAGTCTGAGGGGGAAAAGCAAAACCAGAAAGGGCATGAGACACCTAAATCAGAGAGGAAGGAGTGCTGTGCTCCCTGGCTCATCCCTCTGCCAGAGAAGGATTCCTCTCAGACATAACTGCCATTTCCATTTCAATTGATTCCCATGGCAGGGAATGCTCCTTGGGGGATTTCTACAGCCTGACAGATCATGGGAATAGGAAAATGTTGCTGATGCTCAAACTACACACTTCTTCATTCAGCTTTGGTCCCTTATTTCCAGTCACACAGCTCCAGGCAGTCTGCAGATGCTTCCTGGTTATTCCAGAACCGTCTTTCCTATGTAGAAAATGACCATTTCTTATACCCACGTTCCAGAACTGAGGTCATGCCATGGCAGACACTCTCCTGCCCATGGTCACTGATTTGAGACCAAGGGCTGATTCTCCCAAGTTCACAGACAATATTCACTTACAGGCACACACAGCGAGAGGCAAAGAAGCTCCTGCCATTTTCCTGGCAGTGGAGCAGACTGAGCTGTATTTAAACCAACTTCCCTCAGTTATTTGGGGTGGCAGCAGCAGCACAACACTCCTGAGCTGCACAGAGAGGGCAGGGCAGCCCTGCCCCTTAAGAGTCCACACTTGCTGTGGGTGCATGGCCCTAGGCAGGGATCAGCCCATCTCAGTCACAGCGTGACCAGCACATGTCAGAACCCACGGGGACATTCCTGCTGAGCTTCCCTCATCAGCTGGTCCCACCACAGGCCTCCTCATCGCTCCAAAAAGGGTTCATTGGGGGTCAGAAATGCACCCTCCAGGTGGAGAAACACACTCCTGCCTGTGCCAGCACCCCCACAGCACTGCCTGGAGGGGGACCTGCAAACCCCACTGGGGAACTGCAGCCTGCATGTCCTGCAATGCTGCATCCCACTGGAATGACCAACACAAGAAAGACATGGACCTGTTGGAATGAATCTAGAGGAGGCCACTAAGTTGGTCAGGAGGCTGGAGCCCCTCTGCTCTGGAGCCAGGCTGGAAGAGCAGGGAGTGTTCACCTGGAGAAGAGAATGATCCAGGGAGAGCTCAGAGCCCCTTCCAGTGCCTAAAGGGGCTCCAAGAGAGCTGGAGAGGGACTTGGGACAAGGGATGGAGGGACAGGACAAGGAGGAATGGCTTCACACTGGCAGAGGGCAGGGTTAGATGGGATATTGGGAAGGAATTGTTGGCTGTGAGGGTGGTGAGGCCTTGCCACAGGTTGCCCAGAGAAGCTGTGGCTGCCCCAACCCTGGAAGTGTCCAAGGCCAGGTCGGACAGGGCTTGGAGCAACCTGGGCTAGTGGAAGGTGTCCCCCCATGGCAGGGGGGCAGGATGAGATGATCTTTAAGGTCCCTTCCAACCCAAACCAGTCTGGGATTCTGTCATTCTGTGACCATTACAGAAACAAACCAACTGAACACATGGAGCTGCAAGTGTGAGTCCTGGGGATCCTGCAGCTTTTCCACCTCCTGCAGGAATACTCTGATGTTTTCTGGTCAATGACACGTCCATGGGAGGCTTTGTCATTTCCAGAGTATTTTTCTTCCCAATCCACACACAGATCCCAGGGTACCCAGTGCAAAGAATTTTGATGATTACCCTTTCCTACTGTTGTTTTGTGGGATTAAATGACCTCAAGACCTAAAGGATAATATTTTTTTTCCTTCAATTGTAACAAAACTTGATGGAAAGCTCAAGGCTTTAGAGTTGCTGAGCTCAAATCTCCCTTGGTGAGTGACCATTTGGAAAGGCACCTCTCACATTGGGTTTCCAGTTGTTTAGTAATTCCAGCTGGGAACCACAGACTACCAGTAATGGAAAGTCTAAGTGCAGTAGTCAAGGACAGTGACTAAACACTCCAGACACCCAGGATGGAGCACGTACACCAGGTCCTCAGCCATGCTGGCCATTCCACACAGGACACATTCCACGTGGGGAGATGCAGGGTCCTGGGTCTTTTAGAAAAGAAACCATCTCAGCTGTGAACCTGCCTGAACAGTGGAGAGTTAAACATGGGAAACCCACCACTCAGCCAATTCATCTACTGGTTTTGTTAGTTTTCAAGCTCCAAGATTTAGATTAAATATATTTTACTGCCTAAGAGAAATCTCCATGTAGAGTCCATAGGTTGCTGTATAAAAATACTGCACTAATTTTAGCCAAGCAGTGTAAATTCACCACTCTAAAAGGCAAAGACAAACCAAATCAGAAAAAAAAATACTTTGAATAGGAAAGCTTTGATATCATTCCACTTGGCAAAGAGCACTTCTCTACCGACTTCAACCCTCATTTTTTTCAGCTACTAGAAGTATTCTTCCCCCTCCCCGAAGATCCTCCATTTAATGGACAAAAAAGTGTTTAAAACAAAACAAAAGCAACTTTGATTTTTTTCCCTCTGTAACTCAGCCCTGTAAACTCCAGCTCTTTTATAGGAGCCCCTGAACTGCTCCACATCACACAGAGTACCTTTTTTTTTCACTTGTAGCTGCAAATGCACAGGCTCTTCCCCTGTGTGCTGGAATGAAAGAGTAGTGAAGGATTGCGGGTCTGACCTGTGCCTGGACATGCTCTGCATGTCACCGAGGGGGCTCAGCCTTACCTTCCTCAGCTCTTGCTTTGTCCAGAGAAGCTGAAGGGTTTTCAGCAACAGGAGTGGGTCCTGGCCTGGAGGAGGGGGAAGAGAGAGAGAAAAGGAGAGAGAAAAACAAAACAAAACAGATTTATTGGCTCTGTAGAGGCAGCCCAGACACACTGGGGCATTGTTTCACCCGAGAGAAATCAGCTACTCCGTGCACTGTGTTGGAAACCACCAACCTTCCAACTGCCAGTCAGGATTAGAGTGCTAAACCCCTGCACTCCAAACCCCAGCCGACTCACAGCCACCACCCATGCAGGCTTTAACTCAGCACCCCCAGCTCCAACACTGCAGAGCTGTGCTGGTGCAGTCACAGCTCAGTCCTGTTGCTGCTCCTCACCCCGTCCACCCTCACCCCGTCCACCCCCACCCCCTTTTCACACGAAACAAAACGGTCCTGGAAGAGAGAACACGTTGCACAGGTCGGGAAGGGTGATGAGCACACAGATTTTTAGGGAATGGCTCTGAAGTGTAACCTCATGGCAACCTGGGGGTGGAGGAGGGAGTGGGTGAATTTGGGTGCTGGAGGGGAGAGTCTGTCCTTGACAGGCTGGACTGGACACAGGCTGAGGGATCTGGGTAAAGTGGTGTCTGAGGAAGAGGGAAGATGAAATGCTGCTGTGATTAGTGGCAATGCTAAACAAAGAGGGATCCAATATTTCAAAAGAAGGTTATTTGGAATTTTCCTCTTACTTTTCACCTAGTTATTGTAGAACTTGAAGTCAGTTGTTCTTTTGTGTCTATTATCATTCATCATACTGTTACTCATCATGCCAGTATTTCTGAACCAATTTTTTAGGAATAACTCATTTTAAAAGCAGTAACATGTTTGATATTTGATTCTATTTAATGCACAATCATTTTCTTATGAAACCATGACTCAGAATATTCTGAATGAAAATCGTCTATGGCATGAACAGTTTAAATGTGAAGAATGACTTTAAAAATCTGAATGAGCTCTCCAAAACCACTCCTTCTCGTGAACCTCTTCTTATGTTTTCACACAGCCAAAAGAAAATGTTAAAAGGAAGCATTCTTTCAATCACCTTTTGTGTTTTACAATTCCTAAAGAGCTCATTTCCAAATGCCAGATTTCATGCTCAGTATCCCATCACACTTCATATTTCAGGTCACAAAAAACTTCCTCAGCTGTGAAACGCTCTACCTCATCCAACTGAACTCTGAGGCACTGCATTTATAAAATATTTGAAGTAGCAAGCTGATTACTGGTTGAGCCAAGAGCATGATAATATTCCCATTATCCACTAACCTCTGGGAAACACCAGCCAAATTAAAAATGCCACATTTACAATTCATAAGATAATATTTTCTTTCATCTCTGGTTGTTCTGAAATGTTGAACTCTCCAAACACTGGCAGTTCTCAGCTACTGCTCCTCCTCTGGAAAAAGAAAAGGCTCTTTTTACACCAGAACAGAAGAAAAGCCAGATCCCTACTCCCCACTAAATTAGCAAATTACAGTCAAATTCAACCCATGTGTGTGTGCATATCTGCACACTCTCCTTTTGGCCTAACTCCCAAAGAAATTTATACACACACAGGAAAAAAAAACTAGAATGCAATGCAGTGTGTAACCAAATACACTGTAAATCTGAGCTGTAATTAATGCAGGGAACAAGCTGGAATGATACAGGAAATGAGAGCAGTTAAGGAGAGCAGTGTTTCACTTCAGATACAGCCAATAATTCAACTTGTTAAAAAGCTTTCTAAACCTCAATCAACAAACCCAGTCCTTTTCTTACTGACTTTTTCCTGCCTTACCTCCCTGCAACTGAAACCCAAACTCACTGGTCTGAGACACACAGACCAATGGAAACGTCTCTCCAGTCAATTTTAACCAGCTCAGTGTGGTGCCAACATGGCCCTGAGCAGGCACAGGTACATGGGGCACCTTCCCCTCCCCAGACCCTGGCACTGAATGCACCCAGTACTCAGTTATTTCCACAGACCCCACCTGGAGCACTGTCCAGCTCCAGGGTGCTCAGCACAGGAAGGACATGAACCTGTTGGAGCAAGTCCAGAAGAGGCCACAAAGATGCTTCGAGGGCTGGAGCCCCTCTGCTCTGGAGCCAGGCTGGAAGGGCTGGGGGGGTTCACCTGGAGAAGGGAAGGCTCCAGGGAGACCGGAGAGCTCCTTCCAGGACTGAAAGAGGCTCCAGGAGAGCTGGAGAGGGACTGGGGACAGGGGATGGAGGGACAGGAGAAGGGGGAATGGCTTCCCACTGCCAGAGGGCAGGGGTTGAACGAGAGAAACTCTGAGAAAATCACCTGTTGGTGACCAAACAGGGCTGCTCCTTTCCTTACCTGGTAAGGCTTGTAAGGATCTAAGGATAGTCAGAGCTAAACATAACAAAATAACCCACATGCAGCAGCTCCCAGAGCCAAACATGAACGGGACAGCAAAGCCACATCATGCCATTGTCTAATCCCACCAGAGAGAAGGGATGCTGCAGTTCATGCTGGATTTTGAGCTATTGCATCCAATTACTCTCCAGCTGAGACAGAAGATGGAAATGTGAAGGTTCACATAATTTTGTCTCCTGAAAGAAATGAACAATTCATTTGTTCTGTGTCCTGCAGGACCTCTTTGGAGGACTGGCCTCCTCATGGTTCTCCTGGCACCCATAAACAAAAAATTAGTGTCTTTGGCATTGATGAAGAATTAATACTGCTATATTCCCACTGGAATACCAGACAGGTTCCTGCTCATCCACATCGCAGAAGGAAGCAGCAGTAAACTAATGCTGGGATATCCAAGGAAAAACAACAGGACCTTACAGGGAATTTCATAAGCCTTCCAGACAAATCTGGAGAGCAGACAACTGCTCCAGACACAAGAGAGTGAGGAAGAAATACAAGGGAAGGAGGAATAAAGCAAAGAGACTGAAAACCAAGTGGTCAGAACTGAACCACAAGTGCACTTGGGCTTGGCTCAGGACAAGAACAAGGCAAGGATGGGGCATGGCCAGAAAAACACCTTCATATGCTCCACCAAGAGCACCCAGAATAGCCGCTGCTGAAGAGAAGTTAAATCCTGCAGAGATTCCTACATCCTGAAGAGATATCCAGCTATTAGCAAGGGACATTCAATGAGCAAAATAAACAAAACACGGATGTAAACCAGCAAAAAACCCCAATGTGGCAAGTCAGAGAGATGAGCTGTCCCTGCTCCAGCTGTGAGCAGCAGGGCTGGCTGGGTCCGCCACTGCAGCAGCCGAGACGTGTCCGAGGCAACTGAGCCCACCCCGTTCCTAGACCAAGCTCCAGAGAGAGTGCTCAGTCTGACACTGATCCTTCCCTTCACAGCTCCAAAAAAGGGGGTTGCAGACCATAAAACACCTGGTAAAGCAAACACCTCACCAAAACAAGGTTAAAGAATGTTGGTGGAGATCTCAAAAAGACACATCTGTGCCCACTCCATCAAGACACAAATAACTTTGAGTTTTTCCTCTGAGAGTTTCTCCCAATAGCACGTTCCTGTTTTAAACATTTTGACATTAATATATTTCCTCTCAACATTTTTCATTCTGAAAATAAATGAGCTCTGCCCTGAATCTGGTACCAAAATTGGAAGAGCTGGTAAATCAAATGTCTTCCAGTTCTCAAGATCTGTGGTTACATTTCAAAACCATATAAACCACAAGGCTTATATTTCTGAGTTAGAAAAGTGCCTTTGAGGAAAACCATAAAGTACTTTCTGTTCATTCTCTCCTTTTCCTTTGTGCATCCATCACGCAGACCCTGCTGTGATCACAACAAAAGCGGTGCTCACGGGCTGGTGAGGCAGCACTGGGTTTGCTGGTGAGGTTTGCAGGACATCCTTGCAAAATTCTGCTGCTTTACCACCAGTGCTGCTGAAACGGCCTGGCAAGAGAACCCCATGTTCTGACTGAGGCTCCTCGTGTCTCTCACCTGAGGCAAGTGAGGCATCCAACCCCAGAGGAGGAATTTCCCAAGGAAAAAACCTCCTGAGACTTTCTCTTTGTGTCCAAAGCCATTAAATGCCCCCAGATGTTGAGAACTGGAAGAATTACAGTCAGCAAAAGAAAAGATACAGAATGAAAACAAAAGCAACCCCCAAAAATAAGGCTCAAGTGACTAAAATGCAGTATCACAGCCCCCAAACTGTCACTTACAGCTGAAAGTCATGGACAGGAAAGGTCAAGAACAAAAAGCTAATTACAGAATCACAGAATCATAGAATCTTCTGGGTTGGAAGGGACCCACAAGGATCATCCAGTCCAACTCCTGGCCCTGCACAGACACCTCAACACTCCCCCCTGTCCCTCAGAGTGTTGTCCAAACCCTCCTGGAGCTCTGGCAGCCTTGGGGCTGTGCCCACTGCCCTGGGGAGCCTGGTCAGTGCCCAACCAGCCTCTGGGGGAAGAACCTTCTCCTGAGATCCAACCTGAGCCTGCCCTGACACAGCTCCAGCCATTCCCTGGGTCCTGTCCCTGCTCACAGGGAGCACAGATCAGAGCTGCCCCTACAATGATTATGTTTTCTTTAGGCAGTCAGATTACACCTCTGCCCTGCAAGTTAGTGGGATTTTAATAAATGTTTAATGGAATATCCAACAAATCCAACCCACCCAGTAAACAATCAGTGAATTTTTACTATTACTTATTGCCTTGTATGCCCTCTGCCCCAATAAATCCCTGAGATATGTTCTCTGTGAAAACTCCTGTTCATCTCTGATATATCTGAGATACTTTTCAGAAAGGTAAACAAAAATTTGAGACATTTCTGCGTCCCCCCCCAAGGGCAGCCAGACCCTTTGGACTTAAAAACTCCAATATATCAGTGCACAGGCAATGCACAAGCTGAGAGTTTGGGTGAGCAGAGTCCTTCAGCCAGCTCGTGTTCCAGCAGCACGATGGGTGCACCCACACTGTGCCCATTAAACTACAGCTGGGAACCAACAAATACTGTGTTTTGTAAGAACCAATCAAAGTCTCTGATCAAAACCTACTCTGTCTCAATTTTGTTCAGAAGTGGCTGCAGCTCAC